TCAGGACTCAGGGTCTAGGGGTTTGAAAAGTTGTGGATTGCAGTCTTCGAGGCGGCGGGGGACGGGGTGGAGGGAGGGGCAGGGCAAGGGGGAGGGGGGCTAGGCCCCTGAAATGTGGTCGCTGGAGGCTCCGGGGCCCTGGCCTGGGGGCGTAGAAAGTACCGGGTGTGTGAGGAGGGAAAAAAAAGGGAGGTTAACACCTCCAAACCCATCGAATCGAGACCCATCCAACACGCCGCCAGGGTCGGCGGATATTCTTGAATTGAGCACCCTAAACCCGAATCCCTAAACCCTAAACCTCCCTTTAAGCCCCAAAGTAGCTCAGCAGCTTACGGTGATAAGTTGGGGTTTTGGGGGTCATGGCTTTAGCTCCGAGGTCTGAAACCTGAGAACGGGTCCCTGGTTTTTGTGCAAAAGCATAATATGCACGGTTTAGGGTTTAGGGCGCTAGTCATTTTTAGAAAGTTTTCGAAAAACCCTCCCTGTATAATGTAAGCTAGTCATATACCGTACATAGAAAGTACCTGTTCAAGTTGCCAGGGACAGTTTCTTTGCGATTTGTTGGATCTCAGGACTCGTGGTGCGAGGTCTCAGCATACTAACCCTACGCTCGAATCGCTGGACATGATAAGCCGAAGGCAACAAGCCAGGCCGACAAATGCTTACCTGGACACGCCAACCCCGTTACACGCGGAACCTGCAAATAGTAACAAAAGCCAGTTGAATTTGGAGGTAGATTCCAGGCTTCAGGGTTTTGGAGTCTCTCAAACCCTAAACTCCAAACCGGTTAATCCCCGAATCCCCTGAAACCCCCAACTCAAACGCTTTCCGGGGCACAAAACCCCATGAACCCGAGCCCGGAACTCCCCTGAACTCTAAACGCAAAGCATCACTCCTGAATGCCGCATTACAGCCCGAACAAGAAGGACAGAAACCCTAAAAACCTTTAAAGCCTAAACCCCTAAACCCTACAACCCTAAACCCTGCTAAACTATAAACCCTATAGCCCAGCCAGAAGGACGGTGGTGAGCCTCTTCATCATGCAGGGCCTGCTCTCGTCGCCGCCGCAGCGCACGCACCCCAACACCGCCGCCGCCAGCCTGGGATCACCTGGGCGATATGGGTAATGTAGGGGCCGGGGCTCAATCATTAGAGTAGGGTTTGGGGGTATATAAGGAACCCCCCAAACCCTACAGTTAGGGTCCTTTTGAAAAGGGTTTCTGGGGTTAGGGTTCCCAATATAAAGAACTACCCATATTATGGGGGAGGGGGGGGCCTTTGATTCCTCCATAGGATTCCTGCAAGGGTTTTCAGATATCACAGTAGCGGGTTTTGTACCGGTTCCTTTGAAGGTTGTGTGGCGCTCCGTTTCCTCGTTTGCTTCGTCAGCAGAACCAGGTTCTGCGTTGACACTCATTTTGAATTGTCCCATAAATCTCTGAAGCCGAGGGCAAAAGTTCAATACTTTCTAGACCCGAGACAGCATAACACAGCGGCCTGACTGCTTTGTTACCGTGTTTTCTGTGGCTATACATGGGAATTGCAGCTATTGCCTAGAGGGATGTGATGCAGGATAAACAAGGGTCGATACTTGAAGAAGGCATGCTCCTTCTACGGACAGTAGATGACAGGATCCTCCATAAACGGACTCGTCAGCAAGGGATGTCTAACAGTTAGCCGCAACACACAAAGCATGAACTTACACCCTAAGCCTTCAAACCGCAAAGCCCCCAATTGGGAAGAGATACAGGGTTTAGGGTTTGGGGCTTGGGTTTGAGAGCTTTGGAGCTTTGTCTAGGACATTTTCAGGTGGGTAGTTATCGTTATAGGAGCCTTATAGAACGTCTTTTTACCTTATGGAAGCCTTATAGAAGCCCTATATACCCTAAACTCCCCACCTCTAGTTTCCTAAACCCTAAACCCTAAACCCTAAACCCTAAAGCCCTAAACCCTAAACCCTAAATACCCTAAACTCCCCACCTGTAGTTTCCTTTAACTTTGGGGCTCTTCGGTTGTTCTGGGTTTTGGGGCTCCGAGCCCGGCTTCGGGGTTTAGGGTTTAGGGTTTAGGGTTTAGGGTTTAGGGTTTAGGGTTTAGGGTTTAGGGTTGAACCCAGGTGGGCATGCTCTACCATTTCGGTCGCATCTTTGCCGAAGTCATTCGGATTTTGCGGCAGGTGAGATGTAGGATCTATACGGGTGTTTCCGAAAATAGGGGACCCCAATATAGTACCCCAAAATAGTAGGATCCTTAATATAAGGACCCCAAAATAAGGTACCCCAATTTTCGGAAATCCCCATACGGTTAACGTGAAGGAGCAGCCAAGGTCTGGGAGCACAAACGGAAGCCTTACAGGAACCCCTGCAAAGCCCTGTTTCAATAATTGGGGAACCTAAGAGCAGACGTCCCTGCCAGAAGGCCTTGACACAGGGCTGATTTGTTTCAAGGCTTTGGTCAGGCTGTGGAAATGAGCGTCTTCCATTCTGGCTTCTGGAGCTATGTCCTTATGGAATCCTTAAGGGAGGGGGTTCTAAGGGGGGTATATAACCCAGTAATCCCCAATTCTCCTTAGTACTCCCTTAGGTTCCCTAAAGCNNGAGCCACCCTCCCTTAAGGATCCAATAATGTTTCGTCTGTCTCGCAGGATGATGTTTCGTCCTTCCTCGGTCGCTGCTTTGAGAGCTCTCACATACCACGGATGAATGCGGATTTAAGATTACATGGAGCTTGTTTGCTCTCTTGTTTTCTACGTGCCAGAGGATGTGTGACAGATATGTGTTGTTAAGCCTGTCGCTTTGCACATCAAACCCTCGATGGAGGAAATCCAGGGGTCTGAAGAAAGCCTGCGAGTGTCGTCTCTTTTCGCTCGCTCTCTTTTTCTCTTTCTGGCTCTCTCCGTCTCTCTCTCTCTCTCTGTGTTTTTGTCTTTATCTCCATATCTGTATATATACACATGTATATATATATATATATATACACCAGCCTAGCAAAATTTCCCTAATCAGAAAGGTTATCCGCCAATAGGTACCACACTTCAAGGTCTAGGCAACCGACCAACTTGATGTGAGACCAACCACGACGAGAAGAATCAAGATAATCGCGCAACAAACAATGCAGCATTGCAAGTCGTGGGGCTTTTTTCGACATCTCCCGACCCTACCTGCT